TCGCCAAGGATTCCATTTGACAAGTGCCTCCCTCATCAGGAATGATAATGGCACCCAGAAAACTCAGGTTGTCATTGTCATTCCAAGTAGGTATGTCCCAGCCCTCAGGGGTAACGTAATCCTTGGTAGGATAGCCTCTGATTTTTGCCAGTTAACCCGAGCCCCCGAGAATCTGGCAAACAGCTCAAGGTCCGTCTGTAATCTCCTTAGCTGGTCCACCTCCGCAGGGATGATGGCCCCTGTGTCATCCGCGAAGGCCGTCGACTTGAGAGATGAATCGGGGGTCATCTCCAAACCTCGGAGTTGGTGGTCTGCTCTGAGAACATCATGCAGAGATTCAAAGTAGATGACGTAGAGGGCAGGGGACAGAGGGCATCCCTGTCTTACCGACCGGGTAAGGGGAATGCGATTCGATCGAACACCATTCACCTGCATAAATGTACCAGCATTGCTTAATAACAGTCGAGTCCATTTGCARAAAACTGGCCCAATCTCTCTTTTCATCATACTTTGGAGGAGGAACTCCCACCTTACCCGGTCGTAGGCCTTTTCAAGGTCGATGGTAACAAAGGCCAGCTTCTGGTCGTCGAGGTTGGCTTGCTGCAAAATTTGACGGGCGCATAGAATGTTGGAGACAATCTGTCTGCCAGGGATGAACCCCGTCTGTGAGGGGTGAATGATGCTAGGGAGGACCTTACCTATCCTATCAGACAGAATTTTCGCCAACACTTTATAAATGACATTTAAAATCGAAATTGGGCGTCAATTGCGGACATCCTCTCTTACTCCTTTCTTATAGAGAAGGATAATGAAGGCGTCTGCGAATCCTACAGGAAGGCGATCATTACAAAAAGCTTGATTAAATGCCGCAGCAAGCAGAGGAGCAAAGAAGAGGCGGGATTCCTTGAACATTTCGATAGGAATCCCATCAATACCCGGAGTCCACAGTCTGGGTAGGGCCGTAATGGCCTGACTGACTTCGTCTACTGAGATATTCAGTTCCAGAGTTGCAGACTCTTGGTCTGCAAGTTTAGCAGTGATGTTGCTCCAGATCTGGTCCTGTGGTTCTGTTTCCATAGCCTGCGTAGCCCACTGTTCTTCCTCAGTAAATAAATCTGAGTAGAAGTCCACCACGCATCCCAGAATACCTTGAGTAGATTCTTGGCGGGCAATGGAG